CTGGTAAAGCTCAGTAGACTAAGCACAAGCCTATGGTGAACCAAAGGGTTGCCAGTTTGATTCCCAGTCAGGGCATATGCCTGGGTTGCAGGCCATATCCCTAGTAGGGAACATATATGAGGTAACCATACATTGATGTTTCTCTTCCTCTCTTTCTCCCTCCCTTCCCTTCTCTCTAAAAATAAATAAAATCTTCAAAAAACACCAAAACATCTTATCTTCACCTGTTTCTTTTATTAACAACATCATTTTCACAGAGAAAGAAGTTGGTTCCTAGATCCCATGCTTGGCATTTTTCTACATCGTGAATTGTAAGTGCCTACAAAAAAGAAGAAAATATATATCTGTTAAATTAAAAAATAACACAAGGTTATTCACTATTGCCACTACTATTTACATTACATTAAACTACTGCCCTGTGTACTTAGACAATAAAATATAATTAAAGGTCTAAGAATTAGAAAGAATGTAATTAGATCTACTTACAGATTAAATAACTATACACATCTGGAAAGTCAGAAAAATTAATGGGAGAGACTACTTGAAGAGTAAGATAATTTAAATTTAGGAAAAGTAGGCTGTTATATAAATCAACACGCAGAAATTTAAAAAATAAACACAAGAAAACATTTCCAAATGTTCGACGTTCAAAGAAAGATAATGAACTAGAAAAAATGTAGCTTGGTGAGTTCTGGCCAAGATGGAGGCGTAGGTAGAAACCCTTTATTTCCTCACACAACCAAAAGGAGGATAACAACCAATCTAAAATCAATAAACCAGCACAAGTGCCAGAAAAATCAAACTGCATGGAACTCCAACAACCGCAGAATTAAAGAAACAAACAGAACAGCCACACTGGTAAGGCGGAGAGAATCCTTGGTGAGATGGCAGCCTGCGCACGCAGGGCTGACTTAAGGGGTTTCCCTCTGAGACTCAGAGCTGGCTATGGACTATGGTGGTTGCCGCAGTAGGAGAAACTCCCAGTCTCACAGGAGAGTCTGTTGGAAGGTAGGCTAGAGAAGAGCAGGGGAGCTGCACTGTTCCTCTCTGGCCCCTCCTCCACAGGCAGAACCGCAGCACAGCAAGGAGGGTTGCCCTGCCTGGGTGAATACCTACCCCCTTACAACTTAACAGCTGCCCCAAACAAGAAATATGGCCAAAATGAATGAACAGTAAAACTTCAGAAAGAGAGCTAAGCAATGAGGAGATAGCCAACCTATCTGATAGAGAATTTAAAGCCCCGGTAATCAAAATGCTCATAGAACTGATTGAGCTAGATTGAAAAATGAAAGATACCCAAAATGAAATACAGCAAAATACTCAGATAATTTGATAATTAACCTAGTTTCTTTGATAAGTAAATTGCAAGAAAAAAGCAAGGAAGAGAAATCTATAGATTAAAAGAAACCAAGTTTAGTAAATGGGCTTTACTTAGATCCTGATTAGAACCCCCCAACATTTTTTCTTAAATATTTTAAGACAGTTGGGAAAATCTGAGTGCTAACTAGATATTTGATGATTGTGGCAGGCACATTTTTAAGATGACCCCAGTAATTCTCACTTTCTGGTCTTCAGAAGTTTGTGTAATTCCCTCCCCTTGAGTGTATGCTAGACATAGTGACTTTTTTTTTTTTTAACCTAATGACTTGCTTTTTAAAGAATACAGCACGGGTGATGGGATGTCACTTCTGAGATTAGGTTACAAAAGACTAATTTGTTTTTCTAGAACCTTCCCTTTCTTATATTCTTGCTAGCTTACTCTGATGATGTAAACTGCCCTATGGAGAGGGCTACATGGCAAGGAACTGGGAGTGACCTCTGATCAACAGCCAGCAAAGAACTGAGGTGGAATGTGAAGTTCCACTGAACGCTGTCAATAACTACCTGAGTGACTTTGGGAAGCAGATCCTTACCCTGCCCAGGAGATGGGGAGACGCCTTGCTAATATCTTGACTGGAGCCTTGTTAAAGATCCAAACGGAGGAATCAGCTAAGCTGTGCCTGATTCCTGACCCCAAGAAATTGAAATAGGTACTGTTGTTTAAGTTCTACGTTTTGGAGTAATCTATTTTGCAGCAATAGATAACTAATACAACAAAATTAAGAAACATTTTTTAGGTGTGAAAATGATATTACGGTTACATTTTCAAAGGCACCCTTATCTTTTAGAGCTATGTAGTACACTATTTAAGGATGATATAATAGGTGCCTGAGACTTGCACAAAAAGAATTTAGTGGTTGGGGAATAGTGGGGAATGGGAAGGAGATATGTTAAAAAAAATTTAAATTTGTCTATGAACTGATAATTGTAGCTGCATGATACCTGCATGAGGTTTTGTTAAAACTACTGTTTTTATACAATTTAAATTTTTTCCTATAATATAAAGTTTTTAAAGAAGAGTCAGCTAGAGCATTAAAACAATTTTGCTACTAAATGAAAAAGCAATAATTAAGTCAAGGTATAAACAATATAACCACTACTGATAAGCAAAAAAAAAAAAAAAAAGAGTTCATAAAAAGTAATCCTTCTTACCAAGGACATTTAATAACTTACCTTAATTCCTGCAAGAACAAGATTCTTGGCTATAAAGAAAAAAAAAGGAATATATAGTAGATATATTTTTAAGGAGCTTGGTCACATCTCTGACTAGATAATTTTAACTTTTTTACTACTTAAGAAATACAAGTCCCTTAGAAGATACAGGTGAACAATAAAGAAAAAATAGAATTTTCCATAATCATATCACACTGAGATAATCACTCTTAAAATTTTAGTGTATTGTTATGAATATATGTATGTGTACTCTGCCATAATGAATTAAGGAATACAGAGAATGATCATTAATGGCTATTAACATCACAAAAAGAGAACCAAGGGAGTCATTACTGGTTCCTTGTGGAAGAATGTAACAGTAGTCCTGCTGAAAGAATCAGAATGAAATCTGATCAAATTTTGGAAGAATGTAACAGTAGTCCTGCTGAAAGAATCAGAATGAAATCTGATCAAATTTTGGATCTAGCCATGGCTGGTGTAGCTCAGTGGAATGAGCTCAGGCCTGTGAACCAAACAACCGCAGTTTGATTCCCAGTCAGGGCACATGACTGGGTTACAAGCCAGTTCCCAGCAGGGGACACATGAGAGGCAACCATACATTGATATTTCTCTTCTTCTCTCCTTCTCTTCCCCTCTAAAGATAAATAAATAAAATCTTAAAAAAAAGTTTTGGATCTAATTTTCTTTACAGAAGTAATACATAGGAAAGGTGTTAAATTTTTAAATTACATTGCTCAAAAGTATCAAATAAAAGTATGAGTAAAAATTACTGCTTACCGATTTCCAAACCAAGACCACCCATACCACTTAAGAAAACATGGGACTTGGCCATCTTCTGCATTGCTGTGTCTCCAAGAACGTACCTCTGTCGACTATATGTAAAATACAAGGAAAAACAATAAATTACTTCATTAAAATTATATTAAAGATGTTTGCACACAGCCTGGCAACGAGATCCAAAGACTTATTTTGGATCACTTGCATAGTGTATAAATTTTCTGAATTAACTGCTAAATACAGGACACATTTTGGAAAAAATAGCAGATCTGGCACTAAGGTCCACATTCCCCCATGGCAACAGACAGATGGAGCTGAGCAGGAGTCACCTAATTAGATAGGTACCACTGTGCTCCAGACTTGCCATGGCTCCCATCCTGCTCCTTTCATTCATTACCTCAGTGGCCACTGTAGGCATCTTAGTTTGACATTTCCACTTTAAGTCTTTCACTGTAAACACACTCTCTGAAGCAAGCAATTGGTTCCCTCCTTGGAATTTAGATGATTTAAAAGTAAGCAGTTTTCAAATATTATTTTAATTATAAAAGCCCATAAAATATATCTGTAAAGGACCTTGTTAAGTCTCCTATCCTAAGAGCCACAAGTTAGTATCAGGATAGGAATTTCAAGAAATACACACTGGCAACTTTTAAAGTTAAATACAGTAATAAAGCCAGGAGTTAAGAATTTATTTTTTAAAAAAAGTAATACATTTGATCCCACAACAGTTTTTGAAGACTGGACATTCCAAAGGATTATTTTGGGAGGGACTTTAAAAAATTTTTATTTATTGGTTTTAGAGAGAAAGAAGAAGGGAAAGGAAAGAAAGGGACAGAGGGGGTTAGAAAGAGAGACACCCGCAAACATCGGTTTGTTGTTCTACTCATTAATGCAGTCACTGGTTGATTCTCGTATGTGCTGTGACCAAAGGATAGAACCTCAGCCTTGGTGTATTGGGACGAAGCTCTAACCGGCCAGGGCCTTCCAGTGGATTCGTATGAGAATAATTCAACAGCTGTGTTCAGTATAAGTAATAAATGGTTCCAGAACCCTTTGGGTTGAAAGTGTTTCTTTTGGAATTCATACACCACATTCACACACTGGTTTAATGTATGTTTGTTTAATATATAGGTATTTATTTAGTTTCCAAATTTCAGCTATTCACATTCAATAAAAAAGTCTGAAAAGGGGTTTCTTGTTTGGTCAGAAGAAACTTTAGAAACACAAGTTATCTTTATTTCCTTATTTATTCCCTGCAAAATACAATAAAACCTAAACTTTTCTTTTAAAATTGGTATTCACAATTTATTTCAGACATAAAAACTATCCATTTATTCATCAAATACTTATTGAACATCTACTCTGGTATGTATGAAAACAGTGTATTACATGGTCTTACCACCCTTATTTGTGTACCCTTTAATAATATATTTAAGTTTTATCTGTTTTTGGAAGTCAAAATAGGATAATTTTGAATGCCTTCTTCTATATCTTGCTTCTTTTGAATGAAATTATATTTATAAGATATATTCATAGCAATGAGCAGCTGTTCATTTTCATTTCTGGTGTATTCTATTCTATTGTACCATTCTACTGTATTGTGCCATAATTTAGCTATTCTACAGTTTTTTTTTAATCAGTATAGAAGTCTTTTATTTTTTTCACACTTATCATGGCATGAATTCATAGAAAATGGGTTCCAACAGCTCAGGCTTCTTTCCATTGGTTCTTACAAAGTGTGCTTCTCTGGGTGGAGCAGGCTGATGCTTCAGTTGAAGCCAGGTACCTTTCTCTTTGGCTTCCTGCTTTTTCTGATCGTTTTCCTTCATACATTTCAGGAAGCTATCGTGACTCTTCGAGTGCTTAATATGTTCAATTTGTACATTAATCCTCTTGGCAAGAATCTTTCCTTTAACTTGTTTGTTTACAACAATGCCCACTGCATGCTTGGTGACACTGTAGACTCTTCCGGTTTTGCCATGATAACATCTGTGGGGCATTCCATTCTGAACAGTGCCCATTCCCTTCATATCAACAACATCACCTTTCTTGTAGATCCACATGTATGTAGCCAAAGGAACAACTCCATGTTTTCTAAAAGGCTTAGAGAACATGTAACAGGTACCTCTCCTCTTTCTCTTTGTGTTAGTCATTTTGGTGAATTACTGGAAGATGGCGTTTCTGGCCGAAAAGCCTATTCAAGAGTTTTGAAAATTGCCAATAACGAGTCCATGAGCATTCTCATACATCTCCTGGTACACGTGTTGTAGTTTCTATAGTGCATATACTACAGAGAAAATGCGGGATTAACTTTATTAGATAATGCCAAATTGTTTTCCAAAGTAGATGCACGAATCTACTCTCCCTTCCTGGAGGTCTATCAGAGTCCTTGTAGTTTTACATCCTTAATGTGCAGAAAAAAAGTTAACATAACATGCCCGAACTTTAACTTGCTCACATGCCTAGCCTTTGGCTGGTGTCTGTAAACTTGACCTTTGAAATATTTTCTATGCTAGTTAATTCTATTCTTCATTTTCTTATTCCCTAGTTTCCTGAAATAAAAACTCATTATTTTCAGGTTTTCTTTTTAAAAATACACATGTAAAACTTTGATTAAACAGCATCCCAAATTTTGATACAGTACTCATTATTTTCCAATTTTAGTTATGATTTTTTTTACTTATGGGGTAAAGTGTATTTTTAAACTTCTAATGTTATGGGGAATTTTCTAATTATCTTTTGTGTTAACTTTTAGATCAAAAGCAGTGAATAAACATCACAATCTATGATTTCATTCTTAATATTTGAAGACTTCTTTGGTCAATTTTACAAATGTTCCATGTATTCTTGAAAAAATGTGTATGCTATAGTTGTTAAATAAAATATTCTTTACATAAACTTTAGATTAATTTTAATGATCACATTGATGAAATCTAAATCTGTTCTCATATTTTTGTCTGTTTTCTTGATTAGTAAAGGCAATATGAAAAAAATCTACTATGATTGTAAATTTGTGTATTCTCCTTATATATCAATATCTGAATAGTGCTGATATTTAGAAGGTTTACTATGCATACACATTGTTTTAGTTTTATTAACTCATTTAATCCTCACAAAAATTCGAGCGATGAGTTCTATTATTCCCATTTTTACAGCAAAGAAAACTTAAGCACAGAGAAATTATATAACTTATAAATAGCGGAGGCACGATTCAACCCAGGCAGTTTGTTCTTAGCATCCATACTCTTAACCACTATGCTATACTGCAAGTAGATTGAGAAAAGTAAAATCACTCTACAGTGATTTATAGGAAGAAAAAAGAGATCTGTTCCTTCATTTTCCTCTTCCCTACCTCAATTCCCACTCCCCCAGGACAACTACTCTCAATCTTTCCAGTTATTTCTTCTAATATTTACCCTGTTATTTCTCAATAACCTGTTTACACTTTTATTTCTTGATTTTTCAGTTTTACATTATTACCTATTAACATCCTACTAAGAAAGATAAGTGATCTTTCTGAGGTGTAAATCTCGTCAAACCATTCTCCTGCTTTATTTATTGTTTTTAAATGTATTTTAAAAAAGATTTCACTTATTTATTTTTAGAGAGGGGAAGGGAGGAAGAAAGAAAGGGAAAGAAACATCAGTGTGTGCTTGCCTCTTGAGCACTCCCTACTGGGGACCTGGTCTGCAACCCAGGGATGTACCCTGCCTGGACATCGAACTGGCTACCCTTTGGTTTGCAGGTTGGCACGTAATCCATTGAGCCACACCAGCCAGGGCTTGTTCTCTTGCTTTAAAAACTCCAATGGTTTCCTATTTCCCTTATGATAAAATCTAGATTCTAACATTACTCAGGTGGCCATTCATCATCTAGTCTCTGCTTGGCTTTTTAGTCTTATCTTTTGTCAGCCCTCTATGAAGTTTCATGTTCCAGATGTACCAAAGGTTTTCAGTTCTCCAAACGTGGTATGTTCTCTTCATCTGGTAGATATTTTTCTGGAGTATTCCTGTTCCCCAATATTCTATGCCTGAGTAACTCCTACTAGTCCTCAGGTCCCAACTTATACATTATGTTCCCCCCATGATGCTTTACCTGATATCCCTAGCCTTTCTCACGACAGTGTTGGATCATCTTTTATGTGCACCCATACCACTCTACATTCAATTTATTATAACATCACAGTATATTTTTACTAGTTGTCGTTTTTTTCCTGAAAGACTGTATTTGTTATGGAAGGACCCCTGCTTTATTTCCTATTGTATCCCCAGTGACTAAAAGGGCCTGGCATGTTACAGACACATAAAAACACTTTGCTAAATTAACAAAAGAAATGAATTGGCACACAAGAACAAGAATAATACTGTATGCTCTAATAACCACAAGACTTGAATTATTCTCTCTATGTTCATAGTCACAAGAACAACATTAAAAATATGCTTTTATCTCTGACTTGCCCTCAAAATTTATTTTTAAACTCAGGCAAATAATGAATGAATAGTCATGGCATAAATGTGGTTATACAGGACAAAAGAATAAATTAATGTATATGAACCACAGATTTCCCAAAGAATCATATATTCTCAGAAAGACTCTTGTTACCTAAATCACGTTTGAAAATTAAAAATGCCTTTTCAATGACTGCCCACCAAGAGGAAGGGTACTAATTAAGTGCCTTCTTTGACCGGGCAATGTCAGACACTGCGATTGAAACTTAGATCCTATGAAGTGCATAGTGTCAGTGAGTAGCAGACATCAGATTTAGAGAGCCTAGAGTATAACTTCACGTCCAGCATTATTACATTACAGCTGACTCCATTAAGTGGGCACAGAATGCATCAGTGATTGTATCCAGTAAAAAGAAAGTACCATCTACTCTACTTTTAGAGAGCCCTATTTATTAAAGATTCTTTCATCAAGACACAATGTCTTCCTATAGGGTGTTTTCACCTACTAGTCCTAATTTTACCTCCTTGGGGCCATAGGGAACTTGTCTAATCCCTCTACGATGTGACAGACCTCTAAACATTTGAAGACGGTATTCAGGCCCCAGAGTTTTATTTCTCCAGGCTAAACATCTCCAGTTTCTTAAAAAATACCTAAATGACATTTTGAGTCCCCCAGAACACTCCAATCACTTTCTTCTGGATGTACTTTAATTACCTACATCATGCATTCATAAATTTATTAACATTTCTATTTCAAGACAGGCACTGGCATTCTGTGGGGATCATAAAAGCAGCAACCTTGTGTGGTACTATGAGGTTTAAATTAGGTAAGATAAAATATATAAAGTAATTAACAGAATGCCTGTAACATGTTATTGGGAGCGAGGAATAAATAACCCATTATTAAGCTCTACAGAAGAGGAAATAATTATCTCTATCAGTGGAGGTCACAGAAAGCTTTGCAAATGCGGTTCATTTAAATTAAATTCAGAAGACTTAACAGGAGTTAAAAAAATTAATCCAAAAGGAAAAGAATCCTATGCCAGAAAAAAGAAAAACATAATAAAAAAATGGCATATAAGAGATACTTAATATATACATAAGACTTCGATTTCTGGCCAAGGTGAATTAAGAGGGACCAGATAGATCCTCCTTCTACCTAAATGAAAACTGAAAAATATAAATGAAACAACAGATTTCAGATAATAGACGACAGGTAACTCAGAACAGTAATCTTAGAGAAGAAAAACAAATAACCTAAATTTTATGACTACCCCAGCTACAGTACAGGAAGGAAACCCAAATTGAGCCTGGTGGTCCTCCCGAATTGAAAAGAGGGCTGTGAATACAAGAAGGCTAGAATTTGCAAACCAAGAGATGACCATGGAGAGCAACAGAGATCTGTGGAAGGTTCTTCTTGAGTCATCCATCAGCAAAGTAAGATTAGCCCATGCATATGAGAAAACAACCTCAAGCATGGGAAAGAACAACCTGAACAACACCACTCAGCAGTGAGCAAAAATCAGTCCCGGATTTAAGACTCTGCTGACTTCACCTAAAAAAGCTTCCAAGCAAGTTTGGAAAAAATAAAATTGTTTCCAAGTACCTTAACTGAGTCCCTGAACTCCAGAGTATTTAAAGGAATTCAGAATTATCCAGTACCCAAAAAAGCAAAATTCACAATGTCTGGCATATATTAAAAATTACCAGGAATGCAAAGGCACAGAAAAACATAACTCATATTAAATAGAAAAGTCAACAATAGAACAGACCTAGAAGTGACACAGGTGATATCATTTTTAGCCAAAGATATTCATTATAATGGTAATCCACATGCTCAAGGAGGCAGAGGAAGGCATGAGCAGCAAATTGTCTAGAGATGACAATTACAAAATCTAAGACGAAAATATACTGGATGGAATTAACAACAGACTCAACATCACAGAAGCAAATTTGAGTATACATAAATGAACTTTCCAAAATGAAAGAGATGAAAAAAAAAAAGTGGACTATGGACAACTGTGTGGTGACTGTAGGGGGAGGGTCTATAAGGGGACTAAACAGTAATGGAAAAATAATGCAATAAAAATTTTTCTAATGGGCTAAAAAATTAATAGAGCATACACGAGTGATGGGACCTCCCTTAGTTGAATATATGTGAAACTGGAATCTCTGAAAGAGCCTGGAGAGATAGGGGAGTAGGAGGAATATATCTGAAGAACTAATGAATAAAAATTTTCCAGATATACAGTAAATTCACAGATAAGAAGGCAAACAAAGCCAAGAATAAAAAAATTGAAAAAAAATGACATCAAGGCATATTATAATTGTTAAAAATTAGGGATGAAAAGAAAATATTAAAAGTAATTAGATAAAGCAGAGCACATTATTACAAAGGAAAAATAAGAATGACAGCTGACGTTCTCTCAGGAAGCAGTATAAATTAGAACTAAATGGCACGTATTTTTAAAGCACTGGAAGAAAAAATTGTCAACCTAAAATTCTATATTCAATTTCAAATAAAGAGAGTAAAGACTTCTCTAGACATACAAAAGCGGAAAGAATTCATTGTTGGCATATATTCAATATAAGAAATATTAAAGTAAATCCTCAGGCAAAAGGAAAATGATACCAAGTAGAACTCTTAATTTACATAAAGAAATAGGAAATACCAGCCATGACCAAAAACGTGAACAAATACAAAGGCCTTTTTTTCTTATTTTAAAATCTCTTTTAAAGATAATTCATTATTTACGCAAAACCCAACATTATATTATGAGTTATAACATA